GCATCTTCCAGAGCTGTAAATCCAGTAATCAAGTGGGTTCAACAGTCCTTGCACAGTCCTAATTAAGTGTGTTTTAATCAAGCAAAATACAAGTATGTTACAGGAAACTACTTCCACACTGTTGCCATCTACCTGGACCTGTACATTAAGTTAGAAAATTTTACAATTCTTCTACTTGTTGAAAATCACAAGCAGCATAATTCTGTTCTGGAATAATAGAGTTTCCTTTATATGTAATGAAAAAAAATCAATTACTTGGCATTCAGAATATGAGGGAAAAAACCCCACAATACAGTCTATTATTGTTGAAGAATATTTACTCCTTTAAACTGTAAATTTCTTATGCTTATTTATTATGTAAGATTAACAAGTTAAATAAAATATTGTCAAAAGAACAAATAAACTTTATTTTGTTGGTTTTAAGCATGTTTATGAATAAATGTCACATCATTTAACATTTATTATATTTTTACTTCTAAAAATTAAGATCTGTCTAGCAGTGGAACAGGTGACCTATGGAGGTTGTGGTTTCTCCATTTCTGCAGGTTTTAAAGAGGAAGTGGACAGCCGCTTCTTACGGATAGTTATTTGCTTTTACTGCAGATAGCAATGGGTTGGACTAGATTGGCCTTGTGGTCTCTTCCAGTTCCCCAGTTCTGTGATTCTATGAACTATTCTCACTGATGTGAGAGAATTACCTGGTAGTGGGACATGCCCCAAACTAATTAAATACAAACGTGAAAAAAAGGAATTAGAGAGGCTGAAGTTATAACTGTGGTAAAACATGGCATATTTAATTCATATAGATTTCAGGCGGCACTGACACAGTTCATGTCACTGCCCTGGAAATCACTGCATTGTATGAAGGTGGGAAAAACTGTGGATGTGGTATTAATTATTTAGAAAGAAGTTGGGCCCCATAAGATTGATACTTTGTTCTTCAATGATATGGTTAAAGGAAAGAAAAATGTGTCATGTACCTGAAGGATGCAGTACAGCAAACATTCAGCTTGGGCCAAGACTTCTCTTAAAAAAATAGAGAATTTCAACAGAAAAGGTTAACTTTGCAAATAAAGTAAGGATCAAATTGCATATTAAGTGATTTTATACAATACAGTAAGCATATGTGTAGACACCAGGATTGGAATCTTAGCATTAGTAGAAATATGAAGATTTATTTGTTTGTTTATTTAAAAGCACTTTTGAGCTCTCTGAATTTTCAGGAATATCTCATTTGCTGAATTCCCCTTCCTCCTCCTCTATTGATGTGAATAACAATAGGATTTTAATTTGGACTAGTGTGGGCTGGTAGATTGGGGGTAGATTTCCCAAGTACTAAAAGATGAGGAGACCAGGAGCTAAACATGCAAGGCAAGGAAGGAAGAGAGGAATGAAGAACAGGGAAGAGGGAATATGTAGAGTGGAGATGGTAAAGTGGAGAAGCAAAGAATGTAGAGAATGGTTAAGAAAGGATGTGAAGCATAAGGAATAGTGTAAGAAGAAAGTGGTGGAGGGTGGAGAAGGGAGGAATGTAGAAAAGGAGCAAACAGGAAACAGGTGACATAGAGACAGTAGATAATGAAATGGGGAGAAGGAACTGAAATAGGGTGGAGAGACAAGAAAAAAAAGGAGAGACATCTAGAAATAGTTTAATAGCTAAATGTCTTGGCTACATGATGAGCAAGACACTTGACATGGAGGTTCTTTGTGTCATCCCATTGGTGCTGGGACTAGGAGCAAGGAAAGCAAAAAATATTGTTTGTCCCTATGTTCCCACCATTGTTGGAGAAGAACTTCACTAGAAAACAATGACAGAATAGACTGGAAAGTTTCCATGAATGTATGCAAATCTTTTGGGAATTAGGAGAAGCCTTAGTGAGACCAACATCTTGAAAAAAAGAGGGGAGGCAGGCAATATTGGATTGTTGGTTAAGGCAAGTCATGCACCAAGCAAGTATGGGAAACTGAAGGCTGAACTGAACTTGGTATCAAGGTGCAGTTCTGTCTGTAATAAAGCTATGATCTTTCATGACTTGGTTGCGAGGAGTGAACAGACACGGCATGTATCACTGAGACTCAGCTGGGCAGAGATGGTTGAGTAACTTTATCGGAAATTTGGCCACCAGGATTTGGGGCCCTCTAACAGCTGTGATTCCAAGGTTGGGGAGGAGTGATAATCCTGTGTGAGATGTTAATTGTTACTGGACACCCCTGCTTCACAGGTGGCTGGATACAAGTTTCTGTACCTGAAATTGGAATGGCAGGACAAGAGACAGATCCTCTGGTGTACTGCTTTCTCTATTGCCCAGCATTTTCCCTCCTGAGCCACTGCATTTCATCATAGGACTGGTGTTGGATTCTCTCAAATTAATGGTGCTGGGAAATTTTAATCTTCATGATTTGGGAGCAGGACCCATAGTAGGCCAGGAATTCATGGCCCACATGGCAATGATGGGCTTGTTTCAATTGATATCTGATCCAATTCATATAGAGGAACACATGCTGGATCTAGTTTTCACTTCAGAACAGATGGTTGGTGATCTGAAGATGGAAGACATGGCTATTAGTCCTCTTGCCATGATAGGTAATTTCTGGACAGACTGTGATTAACTATCACTGATGTCTCTGCCTTCATTCATCAATTCTGAGGGCAGGGAGATTAGTTTGGGAAAAGGAGGGACATTTGTATGATGTGCCTTTTCAAGCAGGCCCTGGGCCAGGATGGTTTGTGATGCTGCCTGAATAGTTGTTAAATTTTTCTTCTATGCATTTCTCCAATGTGTTGTTAATACTATATTTGGGTCCTTTGTTTTTTATGTTTTAATCCAAAGTATGTTGCTTTGACTCATTTTTGAGTAAGTGGCCTTAAAAAGTAATAAAGTAGTAACAATTAATGCTGTTGTTGAGATGGAGAGTTCTGGAATAGGAAAAGGTCCTGATAAAGAAATACAGAGATGGAACCCCTCCTTCATGTTGTCTGGCATCAGAAACATAAAAGCATCTGCAAGGGGTAGAATATCTGACTTCTTTGGGAAAGAAATGAAAATTCTATCCTCTCTGACATCCCCAGGCAGGGGGAAACTTCTCTAGTTAAAGAAGAAATGGAAATACCATCCTCCTGCAATGACATGGTATGAGGAGGCAGGTAGAGAAGTTTGAATGGAGGATATTTGTCAGTTCCAGCTGATGCAGAAGAAGTTGCAGAATGGGACACAGTGCCATCCAGCCTTACATGACAGGAGAGATGGAAGGGTAGATGCATCTGACATGTCCAGGTGCAGTGGGGGAGGTGCATAAGGAGATAGCGTAGGGGCTGAAACTGGCAAGATGGAAGTCAGTGCTGTTCAAGCTAGACAGAACTACAGTGTAACATGGAGCAGGTGAAATCCTCAAGAATGGAAAAAGAACAGGCAAGAATCCATTGACTCCAAAGATCTATTTCTTGTCTGCAATAAAACAACATTTAGCAGTTGTAAGTCCTTGAAGTTTCTGCTTCTGTTTAGATCTTGAATGAAGGGTTCACTTTCTGGAAGAACAAATTTATAGCTGTGTCTGGCCTGAAGTGTGACAAACTGGACCTATTGTGGGGACTACATGTCCCTTCCTTTTGTGAGGACTTCTGAAAAGCTGGTTTTCATCTGCTTGTGCAATGGTGAGATTTACTATAATGTGGTTTTTCACTGTGCAAGAACTAACTCTCACACTAAGGCAGTCCTGGTTGCATGGATGCTGACAGAGCTTTCAGGGATGCACGCAACTAGGGATGGAGCTATGCCTTCCTACAGGGAATAAAAAAATTCTTACCCTTTCTCTGGAGCAAGTTGAGGACCACAGGAAATGAGGACATTTTGCGGCCTCCCTCCTTGGGGTAAGTCTCCACAGAGTATGTAAATGAATTTTTTAAAAAAAATTTCAGTACCAGACAGATCTGCAAATAATTACTTCATATAATTTAAATTAGGGATTTAAAATAGCCATGAAAATTAATGTAATTATTTTATTCTTTTAAAAAAGTTAGATAGCAATGCATTAAGCAAAATGTAGTTTAAACAATTATCAATATCAGTGTGGAAAACATTAAGTACCAAAAGTCGACATCTTCATTTTCAATGAAAGGAACAATTTAATATCTAGTAATACACCGACAAATTATCCAGCCTCCAAAATGCAAGATACCACATCCTTCATTACAGATTAGCATGCTTGCTTGTTTTAAGGCTTCTTGGATTCATAATTAAGCCAATACACTTATTTTTAGATTCTTTGTGAAGTGAACCTTTACTTATACAATCCTGCTAAATCTGCATGTTTTGGGGCAGAACTTGAACCAAAAGATAATATTTTAAAGCCTACAGCATTCATAAAGAGGCCAGGTTATCTCAATTCCCTAGTATGTTGGAACTGTTTTAAAATTATAGATTGGGTGTTTGTGTAGACTACAAACCAAAAATCAATCCTTAAAAGCCATTGTGCATCCAAGATTTTTGAAAAATATCTTTGAGGATGAAAATATCACAGAACCATCTTTATTTGGATTTGAATATAACATCAAAGAAGATCAGTGAACCTAAGCAATCTTACTGAGTGAATGACAAATGTGAAAATTCTGAATTAAAGCATAAAGTAAGCTACAGCAGATATTGTAGCGTTACCGGTTCTGTTAGTCTTAGAAAAAATTATAAATTAATCCTATTTGCACAGATTGCTCTTTATTCTTTGTGGGGTGACCTAAAGAAAGGAAGCCAGAAAATAACATTATGAAATTGGGAAACATAAAAAGAACATGTAGAGTTCTACTGAATTAATTCTAGAACTGTTTAGTTGCAAAACTTGTATGCACCAAAAACTGTGAAAAGTTTTGTTTCCAGCATAGCCTAGGCAAATCTCTTTCAAACAGCTAAATTCACTTTTGATCATTTATTTATAATTGTATAGCATATTTTAAAACTGAGTTTCAAAAAAGCATACAGCCATTTACTCCCTACATTAAAATCAGCTGGTCTATTATTTTAATAACCTAGATTTTTTTTGCAAAACACTTTTCCTTCTAAAAAACAGAAATAAGACAAAGTAGTATGTTAATTAGTGCTAAAAGTTACTATAAGCAGAAGTCTGAAGAATATGCATCATAAGATAACAGAGTTTCTTTTGAAAAATTCCAAATGATCCATGTCAGAAATTAGGTATTATTGATTTTAATACTTACTGCAATGCTTTTTTCACATTTGTACAGAATCTTGAAAGAAAAGAAAATAAACAGGGAAAGCCTCCAAATACCAGCTCACTGATATGAGGACCTTACAAAAAGCTGATTATGCAAAATTAATTACTTTGCTTAATATATTATATTGTTATTTTCTAGCCTTAAAAAGAAGAAAAATTTTGATACTGCCTTAGCTAAGCTCAGCTCATATTATGTGCTGAATACAGAACAGTCTGCTAAGTGAATGGTTGTTTTACCATGCTGAAAAACTATTGTTTAGGAATTATAAGATTTCTCAGCATATCAAAAGAATTGCCATCTGGATGCACAGTCATAACATCTTTGCCTTCCTCATAAACCTGAAGGAATCCAGAATCATCAATTCCAACAATCCACACCATTGGTCCATCATCATTTCTGAGTCGGACTTGCTTACCACTGAAATGGAAAAGAAAATTATTTGCTTAATACTAACATATTAAATTTCAGTCTGACAATTCTACTAATAATGAATCTCTCTCAGCAAAATATCGTTGGTGTCTGATTATTCTGATTATCTACATTCACTTGGTGTAAACATCCACATATAATGATGTATTTCATTCATCGTACAGCAAATATCCATCCATATAAGCATGATAACTCAGTGTCCCAAGGAGCTTACTATGTACACAATACTTTGGGAAAATAATTATTAACAAATGCATATGGATTTTACATAGGATTCACATGGAATTTACTAATTGCCTATCATCATAATGAATAATGTGAGAATTTCCTGTACCTGTCTTTTACTTTACATAACTACTTGTTTAAATATTAGATCTAATTCTAATATTTCTAATTTCTAATATTTTTCAATACTGATTTATTAATTCCTAGTCTGTTTTTAGCCTTTTAATTCAAATTAGTAGCCAGAAATGAAGACTTTATGAAGCAAATGCTAACATTCTGACATATTTTAAATTATATGTGTTGAACACAACTTTTAATTAAATATGTCTATACATAGCGAGATACATACTAAACAAACTACGATAAATAATAAAAATAAAAACCTGGTCAGTCACTATTGCTTTAAGAGACTATGCAATTGTAATTGAGAATAAGAAACTTAGTCACCTGTGCACCCAGTACTTATAGTACATGGGAAGAATTCCATTTGGTCCCTCCTCCTGAAAGGTGTTGATCAGATTTTCCAGTATGGACACACTTCTTGCAATCAGGCAGTCAGCATTTAAGGGCTCTAACATTGTATTCTTTATCTTATTGTGCTCCAAAATGAGATCATTGATGCATATAGTTGGGTTGCTATTATTTACATTAAATCCACACCCTAAGGAGGAATAAGTCATGGAAAAATGGTATACCTGTTATGTATATCTGAAAAATTATTTCCTTTATTATTGTAATAAATGCCCATTCCAAGTCATTCATACAGCTATAAAAATCCTTTTACAGATTTTCCTAAGATATTTGTTCTTTCTAATGATGAAAGATGACATAAACTCATGTAAATTGAAACCCATCTCTTTTGCTAAAGACAAGACAGTATGATCATATAAATTATTTTAAATAATTAATCACTGACAACAATGCTTGCCCCTTTCTTCCTTCTAGCAAAAGTCAGTTCAAACAGTTCCAAGACAATCCACATCCAAACAAATACATTCAAAGCAAGTTTATAACTGAAAACCAAGAACATTTCCAAAGAAGTAGAGACCCTGGCATTTGTTATGTGCTAAGGTCATAATTGTCTAGCCATCCTAGTTTATATGATCTTGGAAGCTGTGAAACATGTATTTGCTTCCCCACCTAGAGTTACCTTGCTACATTTCACTATAGGAAGCCTATCTCTATATACATATATTGTTTGGTATGAATGTGTGGATGTGCCCTGTTGAATTCCAGGCATTCAACAGTTGTGAACTGTTAAGCAGAGCGCAGACAGGACTCTGAATGCAGGCAGAAGTGTTTTTTTAAGACCTATGTGGCTGTCTTACTACTTTCCACATCTCTAAAATTTGAAGTTGCTCCAGCTCAGGAGTAACATATAGGTTTTATAAAAAGAACATGTAGAATTCTACACTTAAATCTCTCCTCTCACTTTGATGCTTATTTCTCACCCCGCTGTCTCACAGCGAAATAACATTTGGCAGAAAACCACTGAGTTTAAATAAGGATTAAACTCGGTAGCTAAGGATTTTCTTGATTATGCCTCTTGAGTGTGGCTCTGTGAAATATATTCACTTGTTTTTCCCTTTCCTAGTAGCGTTGATCTTCTGCTCCATGTGCTTGCCAAGGAAACTCATGGATTTCCTTTGGTAAGAAGTATATTAAATTTTCTTCTAATAAGAGTGTGCTTATTAAATACATCATTAATTGTTTGATTGTACTCATACATTTAGTTGAGAAAGATTTTTATACCTTTATATTTAAGCAAGGTCAAGCACTACAGGATGCGCTATGTAAAAAAGACAATTTTAATCCATATTCACAATTATCAGAATAGAATTGATGGTGCTTCCCCCCCCCCCCCCC